CGGACGGGGAGGTGTTGAGCATGTACGATAGTAAAACCAACTAAATAATCCGATGAGTTAGTCTTGTAAAGCAATTTTAACACTTTATTAATACACATTTCTTAATTCTTGGTAGACAAGACTATTAAAAAATAATAGTCTTTATTATGACCAAACCATTTTATATTTGTATCCTTTTGTGCTTCCGGAAACATCCCCAGACATTTTCAGTTTGTGTCTTATTAACTGCCTGAAAAACAATTTTACTATAATTGAAATCGGACATCTGGGCTTCTGGAACTAACGTTTGTTGACCTTCTTTGATCTGATCCTTTTCTTTCTGCAAGTCTTTCCTTCAACAGTTTTTATTTAATTAAATGCAGGCGGATGTCAGATGGGCTTTTTCTGCAAAAATGCAGGGAAGTTGCTGAAAACTGTAAAGATATTAAATTTAACGAGATGTACCTTGATACGGTGTGTCTGAATGTAAGTACACCCGCTTCCTTGCCTGCTGCCTTCTGCGGTGCGTCCTGTGCGCGGGCTGTGGCTTTGATCGCTAAACACACCGACGCGTTCCTCGTAGATGGTCCAAGACCCGTCCCAGTTTGACGTTCTCGTTATGCCGAATTTGTATGGAGACATCCTCAGGTGAGTCCGACTACACCTTTTCCGCCTATCGTTTATTTATAAATGTCCTAAAGTAAACGTGGCTTACAGAGTTTCGGTCAGGTGCCATGAACTACAGCGTGTGTTATACGGGTCCTCGTGATTCAGGCGGCTGTGTCAGCGAGTACACATTGGGTGGGTCATTCGTTTCTTTGCCAAGTCGGCTCTGGGCTGTTGTTCCCTAACGATTAGTCCCTTTTCCCGTTTTGAGATGCTTTATTGGTTGAGTGATTTCAGTGTGTTGTCATGTATAGCCACCTAGCGAGTGGTAAATTTGTTCAGAATTTTTGGGACACTTGACGCCATTTCAGACTTACAGAAAGGTTGCCGGAAGGTACGGGACTTCCTGTGTGCCGCACCCACAGCCCCCAGGTGCTGACGTTTGGCCACACGAACACTGCCCGCCCACCACAAAGGTGGCCGTCGCTCCTACGTTTCTAGCCCCTTCACTTGGGCCTTAGGAGTTTCAACACATTGTCCACAGAAGTGCTAAACCTAGAGGGACCACAACTAACTTTTGACTAAAAGTCATTGCTCAGTTCTTTTATCCCATTATATCATTCAATCCTGACAATTCCATAGAATGGATTTTGCCTCCATTTTACAAATAAGGCAGCTGAGGCTCAGAGAACCTTAAGTAACTAGCTGGAAGTCTTGGGAAGCCTCGATTTAGACCACCAAAGTGTCCAGTCCCAACGACTGGGCCCCCCTCCTGCAGGAGGGGCTGGACGTACAGCAGCGGTGGTCTGTCTTTGAAAAATACCACGTTTGTTTCCCCCTGAGTCTCGCTCATGATGTGAGTGGAGGATTTGGTGGAAGAGGGTAAGCAGGAGAAAGGGCCCTTTGGTTGGCGTTGTGTGCGCATAAGCTTGTTTCTTTGCGTACGTACTTCTCCGTTTGGACGCATGGATGTCACCGTGGGCGGGACCACCACAGCCATCATCGTATTGGTGCTCGGGTCACCCCATCCTGGCCGGTGCGGGTCCCTGTGAGCTGTGTTGTGTCCTCTGGACGCGGCCCACCATTTGCTTTCCGGTGCAGCAGGATGCTGTGGACATAGCCTGGATCTTCTCACTGTGGTCCGGGATTGGCCATTTCTCCGAGGAACCCTCCCGTGCCCTTTGGTGGAGGGTGGTAGTTAAAAACCAAAGTCTGGGTGCTAGGTGAGAAGCTTCACTTTTCAGAACACTCTCAAAATGCTTTTCCGCCCCCAGTGACCTGTGCGCGGGATTGATTGGCGGTCTTGGTGTGACACCAAGTGGCAACATCGGAGCCAACGGGGTCGCCATCTTCGAGTCGGTAAGACCCTGGTGAGGCCTGAGGCGGGACTCACCCGCACAGCCCGGGAGCCCCTGGCGGGTTGGCTGTGTAAATAGGTTCCAAGTGATGGGTTTTCCCTGTTGTCAGAAGAAACTGATGCTTTGTGTAGGTTTGTCATGTGAGCCTGGTTTATTCATTCACTTCCCTCTTTATTTTGTGTCCGTGTTATTTATTGGGCGTCCTCCCTCAGAGCATCTTCCCGAAAAGTTGGGCATGATGGTTAGTCCCTACGTTTGCACTTTCTCCCCCTTACTTTGGCTCTTTTTCTGACACTTGCCTTCTCAGACCCGCGTCTGCTGAATGGGCACGGTAGCCATTCAGCGATGCCCCTCGTCGGTGAGGAAAGGTCGGCCGGGCCCCGCGTCCCCAGGGGAGTGCTGTCTGCGGGGGCCCCCCTGACTATGCTTCCATTCCCATGGGCAGGTTCACGGCACCGCCCCGGACATCGCGGGCAAGGACATGGCCAACCCCACGGCCCTCCTGCTCAGCGCCGTGATGATGCTGCGCCACATGGGACTCTCCGACCACGCCGCCAGGGTCGAGGCTGCGTGCTTTGCCACAATTAAGGATGGGAAGGTATCGGCGGTCGTCCGTGCTTGGGCCGTGTCAGACGCGTCCCCCCGCGTTGTGTCCGCTGCCTGTGCGTTTTCCGTGGGGGGAGCCGCGTGTCAGGTCGGGGAAGGGTCGGGAAGTGCTGACGCGGAGACGCACGGGCAGAAGAGCCATGGCCTGGGAGCCACAGTCAGTTAGGCCTCGGGTCCCGTGGTCAGTGTACGATCTGGGTCAAGTCAGCTCATTTTTCTAGACAGCGTTTCCTCCCCAACATAACCCAAGTGTTTTCCCACATGTACTGTAGGGATAGAGGGGACATTTTGGAAAGCCTCCCTGCCTCCTTTCGTCGCGACCCTGTTGTGTCCTCCTCAGGGTGCCCTGAGCGCGAACCTGGGCCTTGGTCCTCCGGGGTGGGGGCCTCCCTCTCCAGCGGGAGCCAGATCGGCTGGGCCCACATCTCCCTGGGGGCTTTCCAGAAAAGCATCCTGGCCTTGTTTAGGGTGTGGATCCATTTTATCTTGGCTGTTCTTCTCTTCTCAGAGCTTAACAAAAGATCTAGGAGGCAATGCCAAGTGCTCAGACTTCACGGAGGAAATCTGTCGTCGAGTTCGAGATTTGGATTGAAGCTCCTGCGCGTGGAGCCCGCGTCCGTCACGCGCACCACATCACGCACACATGCGGTTTGCTTCTTTCCTGACAGTACATTTCTAGATCCGGCCTTTTCTCAACCTGATCTCTGTGGAGGGTGCAGGGACGCGCTAGGCCTGCTCTCCGAGGACTTTTCCTGAGGGCCCGTTTTATTGATGACGTGTCTGTCTGGTGTGCGTCTTCTGTAAGCTCTCAGTGGACTGTATCATTGGCCATGTTAATCATTTTACACTTCAGTTAAAACGGTTTTTCCTCAGCTGTAAATATGATACAGGATTAATAAGAGAAAACATCTAACTTTTTAAAGAAAACCCTGTTTTCCTTGGTTTATGAAAAACATAATAGGAATAAGACGGAATATTGGCAGGATAGCACAAGAGGACATTCTCGTAAAGCCACACGGCCACAGGAGAGGGTTCCGGGAAGTTCAGGCCACCACCCCCCAGTGAATGCGGCATATCTCTTAGTGCTGTGGGAAGTAGACAGGTAGGTACATTCTCCCGTGAATTACTGAGTATGAATAAAGACCTCAAATCCAAGAAATCCACACGAGATGTAGACGTAGGTAGAGTGTGGGATAGGAAGACGCACGTGCGTCTGTGTGGATGATTCGGTTTCTCCAGACGTACTCTTCTTGGCGGGAGCTTTAATGGCGCGGAGGGGACTTCCTTTCACTGGATGTGCGAGGCACTGGGTCGGCCATGGGAGCCTGTGGCGCGAGCCTCGCTCGGCCCAGAGCGACCTGAAGGCCTGACCACGAATGTTTCGGCCCCCAGTTAACTGGGGATGCCGGCTGTTACTTTCCTATGTCAGTGGCTGCCCCTCCCCTTCCCCAAGCACCGAATCACTGCCACCCACCCCAGCGCTGGTGAGAGAGGAGCCCGCAGTGGGGGCTGGGCACAGCTGTGACCCTGCCCTCCCCCCCCTCCCCCCCCCCCAGCACGTTGTCCTTTACGGCAGACACGCAGTCGCTATTTTCATGAACAGACTGCCCTTCGTGTGGCGCTGCAGGCCCGGGGGCTTCGCAGAGAGCACCCAGATCACAGGGGTTTCTTAGCAAATCTCACTGACTGGGTGCTTTTTTAGGCTTGTAACCAGACCCGAGTCTTAGGTGTCTTTTACTTTGTTTAAGCCGCAGCTTCCTCTTTTCTGTTGCATTGTGCTAATGACCAGTGACCCTCGGGTTCGCCCTAATAAAGAATTCCAGAACTGCCTGGAGCGTACCCTTTCTCCACCCGTTTCCTGGCGAGACGCCAGAGGCCATTTCGGCTCCAGGTATTTGGGGTGAAGGGGTGGGATGGCGGTGACACTCCGGCACAAGCCGGCGCGTTCTCACAGAGCCCCCCCGGGTGCCGTCCTGCCCGATGGTCTCACGCCTGTGGCACGCTGTCCCCTGGGTTAAACACCCATCCGTGACTCTCGGGACTAGTCCCGCCCACTCAACTGACAAGAAAAGTCAGGGGCTCGCCGGCAATTCTGTCGAATAGTTTAATGTTCAAATTTCGCTCTCCGTACAATCACGTCGGCAGCCGCGGTTTTATCAAGCGTCAGATCAGTCGGCAGGTGCGAGTCACGGGACGGCCTGGTGCCCGAGCGGCAGCGTCCGCTAGATCCAGGGCAGGCCGGCCGTCGGGAGGCGCTGACCGGGCTTTCCTGCCCACGCGGAGCGATTGGGCCGCCCTCCCCCTGTGCACGGCCTGCGCCCCGGCCCGGCTGCCGCAGCCCTTGAGTCCTCCTGGCGCTTGGGCCGGGACCCGTCCACCCCCCCCCCCCCCCCCCCCGTCAGCTCCGGGAGAGAGCCGAGCTCACGCGTCACCTGAACAAAAGGCAATGCTGAAAACGAAAAGTAACCCACACGCGAAGCTTCCTGGAATTGTCAGCTGCCGTCGGCAAAGCGTCACTGCCTCACCCTGACCCGGAGACCTCCCAGACCGAAGGGGACCTGGAGCGCAGGATGTCCCCGGGAGGCCTGCCGTCTTCGGCAGAGGCTGGGAGGATGTCCCCCTGTCACTTTTTCTGCTCCTGGTAAAAGGAATCGATGACGTCTTTGTACTTGTCCAGGACTGTGAGCCGTCTCAGTTTCAACGTGGGACCTGAGAGAGCAAGTGGAAGGAGGGGTGAGGCCCGGGCTCGGAGAAATCCGGGAAGATGTGTCGTGGGGATCCGCGCCTCTGACGGCAGCTCAGCGGTACCGAGTGCTTACGCCCCGCTTCGGCCTTGATGGCTCGGAGGGCACTTCCCGGGGGAAGCCGCTCCCACCCGCCCCGGGGCAGACACCCCAGCGTGCTACAGTGGAGAGCGGCCCCCGCGTCCAGCTGAGGCGGCACCAGAGGCCTGTTCTGGTCTGTGGGCTGTGCCGCAGGGGGGCTCCACCCCCGACTTCACAGGAGATGCCGGTGGTCTCGCCCCCCCGGGAGCCAGCTGGCCCCAGCCCAGGCACCAGTAGGGCCTCGGTGTCAGTCCGGGGGGTCCCATTGTGATTTCAGGGGAAACGGTCCCACGGTCGAAGCAGAGTTAAAGGTCGTGTTGGAACCGATCTGTGGGTTCGCCAGGCTCACCCCGCCAGCCCACACCCCTGGCCAGCTGCGTCCTCCCGCACGGCCCCCGGAGTAGTGGGGACAAACGAGGGAACCCCTACCCAGCTCTCCCCCTGCCACGGAGAAGTCCTTCTGGAGAATGGCCCACTTCTGGATGTGGTAGGGTTGGGCGGCTGCCTTCCTGTTGACTCTCTGAATCCCTTCTTCAATGGCCCGGTACACGGCCTCGTCCCTCCTCCCCACGATCTCAGACACGGTGGTGGCGCTGCTCCCCACCCGCCGGCAGAACTCCACGGCTGGTTCGGTCAGGTGGTCCGTTGGGTGACAGGCGTCTGGGTCCAGCGTGCACTGAAAAGGCAGAGGTCAGAGCCGGTGCGGGCCTCACCCCATGAGACGCCAGCCCATCCTGAGGAGGGTTTGCTGGGGCCAAGGATGTGGCTCACTGTGAGCTGTTCCCGAAAGATGGCTCAACGGTGGGTAGGACTCCACCCCGGCGGTGTGGCGCCCTTGGTGCGTGGAGCCCGTGGTGGGATGACACCGGACGGCCCTTGGCCAGCACACCATGGTCTAAAACAGGGGCCTTCTCCTGTACATCTGGCACCCTGGGCTCTGAGCATGTGAGCGGGGCAGCGCTGGGACAGAGGGACGGTCACAGCAGTACATTATCGGTTGTGGGGGTTGGGGGCGGCGCGCAGGGCAGAGCGTGTTCCCACAAGCTACACCACCCCTTGTGCAGGTAGCCAACGGGTCGTCCCAGGATATAGTCACGAGACCCCATGCGTGCCCCAGCCGGGCATGCCTTCTGCTGGGGCCGGACCCCCAGTCCGGCCACCCCTCCCGAGCCAGACGCCCAGACGCACCTTCAAGGTGAGCAGCATGGACAGGAACTTCCTCTGGTCCCCGATGAGCATGGCGTTGCTGACGATGGGCAGCTCCATCTTCACGGCATCCTCGATGGGCACAGGGGGCACGTTCTCCCCTCCGGCTGTGATGATTATCTCTGGGGAGGCAGGGCCAGGCCCCCGGCACAGGCTTTAGTCCAGCACCCCCGTGGAACCAGGACCCAAGTCTGGGCCACGGCCCCTGGAAGCCACACCGGCCACTTGGGGAGGTGCGGCCGGCAGGGGGGTTGGCGGGGGGCGGCGCACACCCTCGGAAGCACCTCTGACTCGCCTACCCCCTTCCCAAACGCCCTCCCCTCCCCAGCAGTCCAGAGCGCACCGCCTGCTCTCAAGGGCCGCTCAGCTCAGGAGGCCCCCCCCGCCTCATCCACGCTGGCCCTCCCTCGTCTAAGCTGCTCTCACAGCGTCCGCCCCTCGTCCCGCGGAGGGCCGTGCACGAGCAGGTGCTGGCACTCAGTGCTCTGGTCTCTTCCCGCCAGGCCAGGTGGGAGTAAGCGGACGTTTACTGAACACACCTGAACTGCTCTAGCTGGATTGTGCCCCCTGTTCTAGTTGGACACAGAGGAATCAGTCACACTGCGTGCGGGCCCCATGTTGACGTCGGGCAGAGGAGAAGAATGAGACAGCCCCTGGCTGCAGCGAGCTCACCGGGCCGTGGCACAGAGGACGGCCGGGGAGGAAGCCGTCAGACCGGGCGTGTCTAGGGCAGCGAGAGTGGGCGTCCCTCACCACCCCTGCCTTCTTGCGCTTTCCCTGACCACCCGCTCACCCCCACCTGTGTCTTACACCGTCAGTACCCGCTAGAAACCCTCGGCAAACGGCATGGAGACAAACACCCCCCAAGACCCCACGCGAAACACACTCCAGGATAAAATGTTGAAACTGTCCCTCCCGAGATCAGGAACAACACAGGACGATCGCCGTCCCCACGTCCATTCACCGCACGCGGCTCCAGGTGTCCTGCCGGCGCAGAGGCAAGAGAGATACAGGAATGGAACGAAGGAACAAAACTGTCCTTATTTGAAGAGGATCCGACCGTGTCCCTGAAGGTTTCGAAGGAACACACAAGCCAGCAGAGTCACATGACTCGTCGAGGCCCCGCCACCCCAGGAGGGCGCGGAAGCAGCCTGTGTGCCCTCGGCAGGCAAGCAGAACGCAGATTTTATGCGATGCTATTTACGACAGCACCCACGATAGAATACTCAGGGCCAATCTAAGGAGAGGCGTGCAAATACCTGCACGCTGTGAACGTTGCCGACAGACCTCAGTGTAAGCACACCGAGGGCGGGGGGCACCTGGGGGGCTCAGTCGGTTAAGCGTCCTGACTTCGGCTCAGGTCACGATCTCATGGTTCACAGGTTCGAGCCCAGCGACGGGCTCTGTGCTGATGGCTCAGAGCCTGGAACCTGCTTCAGATTGTGTGTCTCCCTCTCTCTCTGCCCCTCCCCCACTCGTGCTGTCTCTCTCTCTCTCTCTCAAAAATAAGTAAACGTTAAAAAAACTCAAGGATGCCGAGGGATAGACGGGGTCCTTGTTTAAACTGGACCGTGTGACCCCGACTGACACCACAGGGGCTGCGGACACTTTCCCAGCTTTGTCGCCTGCCTTTGCTCATGGTGGTTTGCCCACTGGTTTGTTCTGTCTGTAATGTACTAAAAGTCTGTTAGTCCCTTTTCACGGCTCCCATGGTTGGAGCCACAGACCTCCCACCTTCCGACACGACACAGAATTTCTCTGTTTTCCTCCAGTAGTCACATGGGCTCCGTTCTTTGAGCGTAAAGGTTTTATCCTCTCTGTTGTGATCGTAGATGGACTAGTTTCTTCCGTGGTCCTTCTAAATGGCCGTGCAAACGGAAGCCACGGTTCCCAGTGGCGGTCTTGGCTTTCCGTGTGCGTGGTGCTGTCACCCTCCTTAGGGAGCTGGCTCTCCGTCCCGTGGCCGTGGCCGGCACCGTGAACACTGCGGGACGTGGATGGTGGGCATCCGGTCCTGCTCCTGGCTTCTGGCTTCATTATGCTAAGCAAGTGGTCATCCATTTCTGGTTTTATCCCGTGCTTTTTTCCACGAATGAGGACATTAACGATTCTTGTGAAATACCTTTTCAACATATGTGCAGATGATAAAACTTTTAAAGTTCTCTTAATACAGATCCCTGCATTTCCAGAATAATCCCACTTAGTTATGATGGGTTATTTTTTTAATGTGCTGGCAGACATTGTTTGCGAGTATTTTATGCAGGATTTTAGCATATATGCTCATGAACGTCATTGGTCCACAGTTTTCTTTTTAAATACAACCTTTTCAAGATTTTGATATCAATATTATACTCACCTCACCAAAAATTTGGAATTTTTCCTTCTTTTCTGTGCCCAAAAAACAGTTGAATTGTCATTGGGATTCCTCAGGACACCCGCTGGTCTCTGTGTTTTGTCTTTTGTGTGTGTGTGTGTGGCGGGGGGTGGGGAGGGGCCAGTCACTATTGTTTCCATGGGAACCGGTCTGTTTAAATTCACTATCTTTTCGGCCAGTACTTGCATTTTCCCACGAAATGATCTCATTCGTGTTTTCAAATGTGTTTGTCCAGTGTTGAGCGATCGGTACCGCGGTTATGGATCGGAACTCAGTGTGGCGAAGAGATACGTTCTCACCACATCAGTCAGTAGATCCGATGGAACCAAACTCGAAATCTTGGAGGGCTTTTGGAGGAGGCAGCAGGCCTGTTGGCAGCCAGCACCGTCTCACAGAGGAAGGCCACGGCCTCACGTGGACGTCTGGCCGTGTCACAAAGATACTCGGGGAGCTGGTGCGAGTCCAGGCAGGCAGACCAGCCCCCGACGGTGACGCCGGGGGACAGGCGGGCTTCTCAGCGGTGATGCTGGGCGCTGACCTCCAACCACACTGCACCCTTCCCCCCCGCCATCACCAAGCTCAGCCCTAGAGGGCGCTGTCGGTCCACCCCTGCAGCAGGGAGCTCGCAGCCTGGGCTCCCAGACTCGGCCGAGAGCCCGCCCTCTACGGCCAGCAGAGCCCGGCCCAATGGCACCCCTGCCTTGGAGAGATCCACTCATGGAGCCGGTTTCCCCAGGAAACGGGTGGGGGTTACTGCAGGGATGTGTTTGGGCATTACATCCCCTCGGGCCAAGTGGGCAAAGCACCTTTTCCGCTGAAGTCCCCAGCTCTCCTTGGGAGGGCCCCGTTCGTCATGGGAAATTTGAGGTCTCATGTTTTATTTTAAATTTTATATCCAATCTGTGTTCTCGATATCATCCCTGTGTTTGCGTGTAAAAATACGTGATATTTACACCCCAGAATCTTCTGGAAAGACTTGCCTTGTTTCTTTAAGAAGTCTGAATCCCAGCTCCACCACTTACTAGCTGAGTGACCTTGGGCAAGTTCCTTAACCTCTCTGGGTGTCGTCATTGGGAGGTCGGGGTAAATAAAACGATGTCAGTCCAAGTGCAGGAACTTAACATGTGCTCCGTACTCGGGGTACAAACAGTGCAGGCAGTACACCCCCCTGCCATGCCTGCAGCCACGAGGCCGGCCAGCAAAGCTCACCTTTGAGGCGTCCGGTAATGAAGAGGAAGCCGTCCTCGTCCAGCCGCCCGGTGTCGCCTGTGTGCAGCCAGCCCTCGGCGTCGATGGCCTCAGTCGTTTTGTCCTCCATGTTTAGGTAGCCCATGAAGATGTTGCGGCCCCACAGACAGATCTCCCCGATGCCCTCCGCGTCCTCGTTCACCAGCTTCACCAGGCAGCCTGGCACCGCCTTGCCGGAGCTGGGGGCGGTCAGAGGGAGACGGCGCCTCAGGGCAGGGTCAGGCCTCACCTGGGAGCCCCCGGGTTCCCCAGCTCCTCATTCTTGGCCGACGGCCAGAAGGTGTCCCCTCCCAGGATTTGTGTATTGCAACAGGGGACTTAGAGCTGAGGGGGTGCCAATAAGAAGCTTTAAGGCGAACGAATGAATGAGCGAACGAACGAATGAATGGAGTCCCAATGCACAACTTCAAGCCCTGTGATGGGCCGGCAGGGAGGGGAGGTCTCGAGGCACAGCAGGTGACCCTCCACTCACTCCCTACCGGTTGGGGGGGGGGGGCTGACCCCATCCCCCAACCCCCCCGCCCAGTGGAGCCCGGGCCATCAGCCTTGGGGGGACCGCCTCCCACATACCCCACCCTACTGGAGGGAGGGAAGTCCCTCCGTCAGAACCTGTTCAAGGTCCCCCAGGGTATCAGCACGGGCACACGGGCACACGTGTACCTGCCGGGGCGGTAGTTGGAGAGGTTGGATATGAAGTGGGGCCCTGAGGTCTCGCTGAGGCCGTAGCCACCATATAAGTGGATGTTGAGGCCCAGGAAGAACTGCTGTGTCTCTGTGGTCAAGGGGGCTGCTCCGTAGAAGTTCTTCCGACATCTGGCAAAGCCCAGCGCCTGGCGGACCTTGGCCAGCACCAGGAAATCTGCCAGCCTGGCCTTGAAGGACTTCAGGTCTCTGGTGGGGGAAGGAGAACGGTCCACAGGAAGAACCACACGCTCACATGAAAAAGGTGAGTATTTGGTGGGCGCACGGCGGCCTGGCCACCTGTGAACGTGCACGCACACACAGGTGTGATACGTCCTGAGCCCGGAGGTCAGACAGGTTCAGCTGTGTCCAGGCGCACACACACGTACGCGCAGAGACTCGAAGCACATGTGCGTGGACACACGAGCACACACACGTCTGACCCCGTCTGAAGCCCACGAATGAGTCGTTCATGCGTATTCACGCTCCGTGTCTGTGCAAATGAAGCTGTATTTGCACACAGGTGCATGTCTCACGAGACGCGATACCGTTTCGCAGACTCACTAGTAATGGAAACTGTTTCTAAATCGGCACAGGCCAGGTTTATGCCACTGACCCTCCCACAGCACCTGTGGGAATGTGATAAGTGGTCAGAGGCAGTGGGGTGACCTCCGAGTGGTCACTTGGAGGCTGGAAAAGCCCTCGTCAGCGTGACCCCTTCCCCAGACACCTACTGAAGTCAGGAAACCCCTCCAGAGACCCAGGAGCCGCTCCGGGGAGGTGAATGCCCCAGATGGAGCAAGTTGGTCCCTCCACTCAGAGCACAGAGATGCGGTGACGGAGGTCTCACGCCCAGCACCCGCCAGGGCCTCCGCACAGGGGTCCCCAGGATGAGCCCAGCGTGTCCCATCCACGGTCTCGTGGCCCCCGCCCTGCCCCCACCCGGCCTCCTGTCCCCTCGTCCCGGCCCTCATGGTACCTGCTGGGGCACGTCACGTTCTGCTCCAGGGTCACCGACATGGCCCACAGCAGCATCTTGCGCCGGATGAAGCCGGACCCAGCCCCCACCTCCTGGATGCGTTCCATTATCTTCTCCCACACCCGAGGCACCCCCAGGTGGGACGTGGGCTCCACCTCCCGCAGCGTGTTCACCAGGCTCCCCTGTCCACCGCCAGAGGGGGGGCCTGCGGTCAGTGCCAGGAGCCCCCACACCCGAGTCCGCGCGCACACCTCCGAGGCGTCCTGCACACAGGCCCCACACGGGCGCCCACACGTGGACACATACATCTGCACACGACCCACCTCGTGTGCTCATGCTGCCAACCCTCCTGGTCACGTGGCCAGAGGCCTCGAAGCTCCTGGGTCCCTCCCAGCCCTGGGGGCGGCTCTATCCCCCAGACGTGACCGTCGAACCCCCGAAGCAATGGACCAGTTTAGGAGCCGACAAGGGACACCACTCAGGGCCAGTGAGCTGCGGGGGGGCCGGGGGGGCCAGGGGGGCAGCTCCTCATGGTTAACGGGAGTTTTCACAGCATGGGTGTAGTTTATGGCACTGAGAAGCAGGGCTGTGGCCGTCTGTGGCCTGTCCTCAATGGCGCGTGGACCCGCCCATCCACTCTGGCGCTCTCCTCTGTGTAACCTCGGCAGTCAGTCCCTTCTTGTTGGCCGCGCGGGCCATGCCGATGGCCACCGAAAGAAATGTGACAGATGCTCACAAGCACGTGCGCTCGGGGCGGGGGTGGGGGGGGGGCGAGGGGTACAGTGCACGGGCCGAGCGGACTGACCTGCAGGGCGTCAGGCTCGGCGAAGCAGATGTGCGCCCCCCACTGGATGCCCGTCCACAAGTCGTAGATCTGCGCGGCGATGTGGCTGAGGGGCAGGTAGCTGACCACCACCTCCTGCTGGACTTCCGCCGCCTGGATGCCACCGGCCTGGCTGCAGTGCCGCGCCGTCCACGTGATCTGGAGGACGGGCAGACGGCCCCGGCAGGGTCCACAAGCCGGCCCTGGAAGACTCACCCCGGGGCTTCGGCTACTTCGGGGACATCTTTGCGAGGAGCTCCCAGGACAGGCCTCCCCTGCCCCCCTCCTCGCCTTGGCCGGGCTCGGTGCGGGCGGGACGCAGACCCACGGGCTGTCCTAGGTCTCCTGGGCCCCTGAGCTGAGGGGCCAGGGCAACGTCCACCGGCAGCCGCGCCCACCCATCTGGGCCCCGTCCTACGTTGTCCTGACTCAGCATCACGCCCTTGGGGCTCCCGGTGGTGCCCGAGGTGTAGATCAGCACACAGCACTGGTTGGGCTGCTGGGCACTGATGACGGCGTCCAGGGTCTCCTCCGGCAGCTCGTCCCCCAGCCCCATGGCTTCGTCCATCTGCAGCCAGGCGGGGAGAGCGGGCACTCGGTCAGCTGGGCCGCTGGCCGGGCACCCCCCGTCCCCAGGCCCTCCACCCATACCGTGTACACGCGGGCCATCTTCCTTGCAGGGGCCTCTCCGTATGTCACCACGGCCTTCAGATGTGGCAGGTTTTTCCAGATCTGTGTGGATGGGAAACACAGTGGGGTCTCGTTAAAGAAAGTTACCCGCTGACAAGAGCCCCGTCTCCAGGCACTGTGGTCGCTGCAGTCTGCCTGGCAGGCACTGTGGTCGCTGGGTCCCCTGGCTGTGACCTGTGACCCACTGGGATGCTGGCCACCCTTCGTGCATAGCTGTCCCCTCAGGAGGGAACCAAGCACCCCAGGGGCTGGCTGAACCCCAAGTATGGTTCATCCCACAACAGAGAGGGATAGGGAAGGAACAAAGGGGACAGAGGGGAGGGGCCAGACCGGGGGGCAGACGGGGGGGACAAAGCGGGGGACAGAGGGGATGGGAGGACAGAGAGAGGGACAGAGGGAGAACAGAACTTGGTCATCTTGCTGAGTGGAGGTTAACAGAGCCCAGAGTTCAGGAAGGCCACGGGACTGGACACCAGCAAGGAGACACTATGGAGACAGAGAGTTCTAGAAATCTGTAGTCAGGGGCCCTGTCCTCCCGAGTCCTTGGCTGAGCCAGTGTGCACGGCAGAGAGTGAACCACCAGGGAGCTGGAGGACCACGGGAGGCCACAGGGACCAGAACCATCCACGTGTCTGTGAGCAGGACGCAGGGCCCCTGCCGTGCGGAGCGGAAACCTGGAAAGGTCAGATCTGAGCGCTGGAGCTAACCTAGCCTGAGGGTGAAGACCATATAAACCGGCCCAGAAGGGCCAAACACGAGTCTCAAAGTAAAGTTCAGAGAGAAAAAAGAATCCTGGAAAAACACGACCTATGGGAGAATATCAAGACCCCTGACATACATGTAACTGGAGTCCCAGGAAATTTTTTTCTGAAAATTGAAAAGCAGCCTGAGAAGTTTCACATTTTATTATAGACCCACCAGTTCAAGACTCACAACGAACCCCAAGCAGGATAAACAAAGGAAAACCACACCAAGATACAACGTAATCAAACGCTGATCACCAGTGATGAAGAAAAAATCTTAAAAGCAGCCAGAGAAGAAAGAGAAACCCTTGTGCACTGTATGTGGGAATGCAAGCTGGTGCAGCTGCTCTGGAAAACAGTGTGGAGGTTCCTCAAAAAACTAAAAATAGAACTACCCTATGACCCAGCAATTGCACTACTAGGCATTTATCCACGGGATACAGGTGTGCTGTTTCAAAGGGACACATGCCCCCTAATGTTTATAGCAGCACTATCGACAATAGCCAAAGTATGGAAAGAGCCCAGATGTCCATCGATGGATGAACGGATAAAGATGTGGTATATATATAAGGGAGTATTACTTGATGATCAAAAAGAATGAAATCGTGGGGCACCTGGTGGCTCAGTCATTTAAGCATCAAACTCTTGATCTCGGCTTAGGTCATGATCTCATGGTTAGTGAGTTCAAGCCCTGAGTCAGGCTCTGTGCTGACAGTGCAAAATCTGCTTGGGATTCCCTCTCTTTCTGCCCCTTCCCTGCTCACACACACTCTCTCTCTCAAAATAAATAAATTAAAAAAAAAAAAAAAAAAAAAGAATCGGGGCACCTGGGTGGCTCAGTCGGTTAAGCGTCCGACTTCAGCTCAGGTCATGATCTCAAAGTCTGTGAGTTCTAGCCCAGCGTCGGGCTCTGTGCTGACAGCTTGGAGCCTGGAGCCTGCTTCGGATTCTGTGTCTCCCTCTTTCTCTGCCCCTCCCCTGCTCAGGCTCTGTCTCTATCTCAAAAATAAATAAAAATATTTTTAAAACAAAGAACGAAATCTTGCCATTTGCAACAACATGGATGGAGCTAGACAGTATTATTCTAAGTAAAATAAATCAAGAAAGACACATACCGTATGGTTTCACTCATACGTGGAATTTAAGAAACCAAACAAGCAAAGGGAACTAAGAGAGGAGCAAACCAATGAACAGACTCTCAACTACAGAGAGCTCACTGACAGTTACTGAAGGGGCAGGGGTGGGGGACAGGGAAACGGGATGGGGAGGGAGGACACTTGTCCCGATGAGCACCGGGTGACGTAGGGAAGTGCTGAGTCATTATCTGTACACCTGAAACTACCATAACACTGAATGTTAGCTGTGCTGGAATTAAAATAAAAACAGGAGGCCAAAAAAACATCAATAAATAGAAGCAGCCAAAGAATCAAGATACCCAAATATACGGAGAGGAACAAACATATGAAATAATAGACTTCTCACCAGAAACTATGTAAGTTAAAAACACTGGAATGGACTCTTTAAAAGGCTAAAACCCTGTCATCACAGAATTTTAAACTACATGAAAATATCTTTTGAAAAAATGGAAATAAACATGTTTGCAGACAAAGAGAGGCTGAGAGAATGTGTTACCATCAGATCTGTGTTACAAGAAAAAAAAAAAAAATTGTATTTAAGCAGGCTTCACGCCCAGCATAGAGCCCAGAACGGGGCCTGAACTCACGACCCTGAGATCATGACCTGAGCTGAGATCAAGAGTCAGATGCTCACTGTCTGAGCCACCCGGGCGCCCAGAAGAAAACTCCTAAGGCAGGAGATGACACCAGATGCAAACATGTATCCACGTAAAGGAATGAGGACTGTAGGTGGCAAACGTGGGTAAATATGAAAGACATTTTTCCTGGGGCGCCTGGGTGGCGCAGTCGGTTAAGCATCCGACTTCAGCCAGGTCACGATCTCGCGGTCCGTGAGTTCGAGCCCCGCGTCGGGCTCTGGGCTGATGGCTCAGAGCCTGGAGCCCGTTTCCGATTCTGTGTCTCCCTCTCTCTCTGCCCCTCCCCCGTTCATGCTCTGTCTCTCTCTGTCCCAAAAATAAATAAATGTTGAAAAAAAAATTAAAAAAAAAGAAAGACATTTTTCCTTCTTTCAAAATGTCTGTGGGGCACCCGGATGGCTCAGTCGGTTAAGCATCCGACCTCGGCTCAGGTCATGGTCTCACAGCTCATGGGTTTGAGCCCCACGTCGGGCTCTGTGCTGACAGCTCGGAGCCTGGAGCCTGCTTCCTGCTTCAGACTCTGTGTCTCCCTCTCTCTGCCTCTCCCCTGCTTGCACTCTGTCTCTGTCTCTCAAAAATAAACAATTAAAACAATTTTAATTGTGTTCAAAACAG